GAATGTTGTCGCTGTTGTTGTTGGGATGTAGCATGCTGTTGATGCAACAATGATGAGGGTCCAGTAGTATTGGATGATGATGATTCACGATTTGTTACTGCTTGACTTGCTTTCCGAACAAATTTCAACAAACCAGACGTATGATCAGTCTGAAACAGTTGCAAATTTCGCTTTGCTTTGTATTCTTTTTTTTCGGTTTATCCAGTAAGTATACTGCCATGCTTTTTTAAAGTACCCTATTGATTTCACCGAACAAGGCATTATACAGCTATTACTGAAATCGGGTTTTTAGATTCATTTATTTTATCTGATGAAATTTGGTGCTAAAAAAAGCAACCTTAGCATTGGAGTAAGAACGCGTTGCATTCGTTTTGCCTGTACGTAAATCGAAATCGGCTGGTAATTCAACAAACGCAACATCGCCATGCTGATAGAAAGGTAAATTCATTGCTGGCGTTGAAAAGTATGTTGAATGAAATTCCTTAGCAATTTCACGTTTCGGTGAATGCCTTCTTTCTGCGAAAAAGAAGAAACAACCAACGATGATTATATGGAATTATTAGATAAATTTTCATGCAAGTAAAGGAGTTTCAAATTTATCCCAGGAAAATATACTTCTGAAAAATAACCTTGATATTGTTGCTGAGTCATCACTAAAACAAATCGCTGTCGTATTGTACCAACGGTTGTCTGCCAGCTAACAGCATCGAAGGAACTTGGAAGAACGACAACACATGAATCATAATCAATTAAATATTTAGCCAAAACCGGCCTTAACACAGCATTCAATGAAAGACCATGTCGGGCTCGCAATAGTACAATTCTGAAATGAACAATTAAAAATTCAGAAACAATGTGGAATTACGCTAGATAATCAAGTGAAAATTGTAAATATCGAAGTAACGTACATCTTTTGACTTTAAATCCTTCAACACTAAGGATAAAGATATCTGTTAATATATTAAAGATATTCAAGACTTGAATATGATATTGTTTCATAAAATTTCAAACAAAATCTAATCTAAATATCATCTTATGGTGGGATATGATTGACCAGTTAGTTCCGGTTAGATAATATTATAAGAGAAATAAGATTCAGAAGTTTCAAGTTAAGCTAAAAGTTGATCTCATAAAAGACTTAACCAACAAAGCAATCTGAAGCAGCAGTAGTAATCTTAATCAGTAATCACAGACTGCACACCTATCAGTAAATCATTTAGAATATGTTTGGAATACGATACAATTATACAACACCTACGAATCGTGGTTGTATCATTGAACAATCATATATGACCGACAAATTTTAAAAATTTGAAATTCTAACAGAAATGTAGAAATCATATTAACCTTGAATTTGATGTACCCGTTTTATTTGAAGCATTTGGCACCATTATTTCGGCGGCAAAAAGCAGCACAGGTAACAGACGCACACATCGATTATTTAATGCATCGATAGCTTGTCGAGCTGGGTCAATCGTTGCACCGGACTAAAAATTTGCACAGAAATAAAAAATTTTGTTATAAAAAATTAAATTTTTTCAAAAAATCATATTTTATTCTTTTTTTCTGCTTAAATTAAAATATCACTGTAAAGTTGAAAATTTTTAAAGTTGAAAAAGCTTTACATCAAATAATTAATAATAGCATAATTTCACGTGCTTAAAAGAAAAACAAAATATGTCGAAGTATAATGCTGAAAATGTTTTCCGAAATAACAAAAAAGCAACAAATAGCTCTAATGTCAAATTTCCTGTGCTCAAAATATGTTAAAAAGTTTTCGCATTAAAATTCTGTTTTGAAAGTAGAATTTTCCAAAAATTGACCTGTGCATCAACAACTTCGGTTGCACGCGGATCCATTCCACGTTGAGCCGCAACTGTTGCTGTCCATTTGCCCACTGATTCCGTCTGAAATGACATTTGCAAAAAAAAAAAAAAGTTTAACAACATCAATTAACATCAGTTACACAAGACAAAAAATATTGAAGTTTCCTGAAAGTACGAAATTGTTCATTCATTTCATGTCATTTCATGATCAATTTCATTGAAAGAAGATAAATTTTCTTAAATAATTTGATGTCAAAAGTGAAAAAACCAACCGGATCATGAAGAGCAATTTGCTCCACACAAGGTGCATCGTTAAGCATTAATGTGCAAAACTTAGTGCATACTTCGGTAACTCTTGAGCTAGAAGTACTTGG